ATACTCGAACGTATGTATCAAGTCAACAACACTGATTATTAACACTACTTTAGCTAGTCTTTAAATATTATTCATTGTCACTTTAGATACCTCGAACATTCACTTCTCTCTCCCATCACATTTAATCTCGCTAGATTTTTCATAAAATAAAATATAAAAGCTCTTCTCCGTCTCTCAATTTTTCCTAGTAAAAGACATAATATTCATAAAGTAACGGAATTGAATTTCGTTCAATTTCAATTTTCAGATTTGTGCTTATAATAAGAAGTTACAAGAAAATCATAAAAATATATTTTATTTCACATTGTAATCATCATCACATATCAAATGTTATCATCATGGATACAATTTGAGTCAATCATTGAGGTGTATAGCAACAATGTCATATAAAATTATCATGCAGCTTGTCATCGTATTTTCGGCGTTAAGAAAATTGAAGAAAAAAATTGATAAATTACTTACATAAGGATTGTCATAACAACACTGAAGCGAGTTGAGTGTTTTGATTTTATTTTTTGGTAATCTTGTGATGAGTTCTTGTGATGAGCTTTTAAAGGTATGGAGGGTATAAGTTGGAGATTAGAAGGAATCATGCTGTTGATTACCTAATCATATTGATAACTCATTCTAGTAAATTTGCTATGTAGCACTAGATTGATTCGAATACGATTAGGTTAGTATTTGTGAATCCAGATTTTTTCAAATACTTTAGGATGAAAGGGTTTGAGGGGGGGGGGGGGTTATAAATTATAAATTTTTTATAATTTGATTTTATTGCAATTCTTTCAAAATCCACCTCTCAATTAGATCTCTGATCATGTTCCTTCATGACGCCTTAGTAGAGGCGTAGTCAGTGTTTTTTTGTGGTTCCTAGATGAGGTGGGGGGGGGGGGGCTTTGAATTTGGTTAGAATTGACTTACTATGAAATCATATTTTAGACCTTTTACTACGCAACACCTTACTTAATTGCTTTAATGGAAACCTGATGATTTAATTACAATTTCTTCAAGTTCCAAAAAAAATCTCCCCCCCAAAAAAAAAACTCCATCACAAGAGCATCATCACCATAACATTATAATCGTTTATGTAACTGACATGTTAGGTCATGTAAGGTAGAAAAATAAAATAAAACATAATAACAAATCGAAATTAATTACAATTCAGTAGATAATGAGACGCTCACACACAAAACACACACACATATATATATATGGTTCCTTTCACTTTATGATTATGATATGAAGCAACAAAGGTTTTACATAATAACAACAAATTTTTTCTTCTTTCTTCCGTTTAATTTTTTTTGTCAAAAAGGTAACTCGGTAATAATTATTATCAACAAACAAAAGAATTATAGCCAACAGACAGTAAAAATTATAATCAAATTTTTTTAATAATATTCATGTTCAATATAGTTTTGTTTTTGGTGATTTATGCTTATGCTCCCTTTTTTTTTGTTGAACAAAGAAATAAAAACAAAGAGACAAGACAAAAAGAACTGATCAACAAACATGCTTGATTTGCCTCATTTATCAACAATTTCAATTATTATTATTGTTATTATTATTAGCTTAGAATTTTTCATCATTTTTTTAAATTGTATAATATAAGATTAGGTGGCTTGCAGTAGACTTATTTGCTATTAATGTGTGCCTTTTTTCTCTTCTCTCTGTTTGGATTTTCTACAATTCTTATTCATTATAAATATTTTTATTTTGTTGTGTGTAACTTGTTTTGGGCATTTTTGTGTGTGTTTTACTCTTCAGGCTTTGTTTCATTGGATAATAAAAATAAGAAATTGGGATTTCAGTAAACCGTAAAAAAGTTTATCGCAAATCTTTCAAAGGCTGTCAAATGATAGGCGTTTATAGCTATGCAATTGGATCTCGTAAAAGTTTTTGTCTCCGTCATTTTTTATTGATGACAGGAAGGAATTTTTTTTATTCCTTCCAGACACGTTCTTTATGGTTTTATCGGTTGATGTCATTTCCGAGAGGGTCTTTAAATTGATTCGTCATCAAATTGCACTCACATGTTTTATTGCCTATGCATGTGGATGGCAAAAAAAAGCATTTTTACGGCTCTTGAATATTTTTTTCCAACCTATATGCTTTAGGTTTATTTTTATAAACATAAAACTTTTTTTTCTCGCATGAAAGTGCTTAAAAATTTATTTATTTGTGTTTCCGCTGTTTTTCCACACATATACACAGCATAGAAATGGCTTTAAATGTAAAATTTATTGTGGAATTGAAAAATGAATAAATGGAGTTGAAAAACTGCACATTCTGTATAGAATCTAGCTGGATAATGACGATAGACATGCATATGCTGTTCTTTTAATCAATAAAACAGAGAAATTTAATATTTTTGTAGTGCTTGATGGATTTTAAAAAAATTATTGAAAATCCGATAGTTATGAATTTGATGCGACTAGCTAAAGTGGTTAATAATTGAAAAAAAAATGACCAACACCCCCTTCCCCCTTCCCCTAGGTTGACATCTCAATTTAAAAATCCTTGTTGACCTAAACTAACTTTGCTTTATATTATACTCCCTTTAAATAGCTTTAGTTCCATATGCTTTAATAGTCAACGTATAATCCACAATAGAAAATTTAATATTATTTAAATTAAAATTCTTAGAACCCCACAAAATCCAAAACTAAAACCCAATTGTCAAACAGAATTTAATTTTAAATAAATTAATTAATAATTCACCCCATTGTTGTGTGCTTTTGTTATAGTTTTAACCGCTTAATATTTTTCAATGAAAACTTCCTTTAACTTTCCATGAAAAAATGCGAGAAATTTAATTTTATTACAAATGCCTGGGAAACTTAAACTTAACAACAACGAGATGTAAATAATGCTTTTGAGAGTCAATAAATTCTATATAAAATGTGAACTTATAAAGCTGGTGATGAAATGAAATATTTTTATGCTTCGAAGTAAATGATAATTTGAAATTTTGCGCATTTTGGGAAATGCGAAACTTAATAAAAATGAGAAATTTCAAGGCACTTTGCTGTAATTTGCTCGAGATATTTTGATTATAATTTTGAAAGATTCATGCTTAATGCTTCTCTTAGGATGTGCGTGAGAACATTCGTATAAAAATTTAATATGCTTGTTTAGGCTATTAGAAGCGACTGGCTTTTGGATAATAAGTTTTTAAATTGTAATCCTAGCAAATTCATTGAATTTTTAAGCAATGATTCCAATTTTCAATTTTCAATTTTGAATATTCTTTTAGAAAAATTCAAGGAAATCTGCATCAGAAATTTGATATCATCAGCTTGAATCTTTTATGACATTCAAAAGTTTCTAAAAATATCAATATTTTCCATTTCCTTTTAATAGAGTTGAGCTTGTTAAAACATTTTGCAGCACTTGAAGATGTTTCAACAAAATATATAAAACATAAACAAACATTTTGAAGTAAATCCTTGAGGCATTCTCATCCTACAGTTGAGACAAGTATCGATAACAACCTTGTCTTATTTTGATTCATCATTAATCTACAAAGATATTTATAATGAGTATTAACTTTACGCGTGGATGTATGGAAGTAATCATCAAATTTTGTTGACATGTTGTTAAGATATGAAGCTTGTTAGGCTTGTATTGAAGTCTGAAGAGTTCAAAGTTGCACGCATGGCTGATATTTCTGATTACGGGTAGTTACTATTAAATTTTTGTTATGTTGACTAGCCAACCTATGACGCAGCCAAGAAATTGCTATTTTTGTGATTTTGCCAGTGACTATACACATTTGTCCTAGATTTGTCACAGATACTCGAACGTATGTATCAAGTCAACAACACTGATTATTAACACTACTTTAGCTAGTCTTTAAATATTATTCATTGTCACTTTAGATACCTCGAACATTCACTTCTCTCTCCCATCACATTTAATCTCGCTAGATTTTTCATAAAATAAAATATAAAAGCTCTTCTCCGTCTCTCAATTTTTCCTAGTAAAAGACATAATATTCATAAAGTAACGGAATTGAATTTCGTTCAATTTCAATTTTCAGATTTGTGCTTATAATAAGAAGTTACAAGAAAATCATAAAAATATATTTTATTTCACATTGTAATCATCATCACATATCAAATGTTATCATCATGGATACAATTTGAGTCAATCATTGAGGTGTATAGCAACAATGTCATATAAAATTATCATGCAGCTTGTCATCGTATTTTCGGCGTTAAGAAAATTGAAGAAAAAAATTGATAAATTACTTACATAAGGATTGTCATAACAACACTGAAGCGAGTTGAGTGTTTTGATTTTATTTTTTGGTAATCTTGTGATGAGTTCTTGTGATGAGCTTTTAAAGGTATGGAGGGTATAAGTTGGAGATTAGAAGGAATCATGCTGTTGATTACCTAATCATATTGATAACTCATTCTAGTAAATTTGCTATGTAGCACTAGATTGATTCGAATACGATTAGGTTAGTATTTGTGAATCCAGATTTTTTCAAATACTTTAGGATGAAAGGGTTTGAGGGGGGGGGGGGGGGGTTATAAATTATAAATTTTTTATAATTTGATTTTATTGCAATTCTTTCAAAATCCACCTCTCAATTAGATCTCTGATCATGTTCCTTCATGACGCCTTAGTAGAGGCGTAGTCAGTGTTTTTTTGTGGTTCCTAGATGAGGTGGGGGGGGGGGGGGCTTTGAATTTGGTTAGAATTGACTTACTATGAAATCATATTTTGGACCTTTTACTACGCAACACCTTACTTAATTGCTTTAATGGAAACCTGATGATTTAATTACAATTTCTTCAAGTTCCAAAAAAAATCTCCCCCCCAAAAAAAAAACTCCATCACAAGAGCATCATCACCATAACATTATAATCGTTTATGTAACTGACATGTTAGGTCATGTAAGGTAGAAAAATAAAATAAAATATAATAACAAATCGAAATTAATTACAATTCAGTAGATAATGAGACGCTCACACACAAAACACACACACATATATATATATGGTTCCTTTCACTTTATGATTATGATATGAAGCAACAAAGGTTTTACATAATAACAACAAATTTTTTCTTCTTTCTTCCGTTTAATTTTTTTTGTCAAAAAGGTAACTCGGTAATAATTATTATCAACAAACAAAAGAATTATAGCCAACAGACAGTAAAAATTATAATCAAATTTTTTTAATAATATTCATGTTCAATATAGTTTTGTTTTGGTGATTTATGCTTATGCTCCCTTTTTTTTTGTTGAACAAAGAAATAAAAACAAAGAGACAAGACAAAAAGAACTGATCAACAAACATGCTTGATTTGCCTCATTTATCAACAATTTCAATTATTATTATTGTTATTATTATTAGCTTAGAATTTTTCATCATTTTTTTAAATTGTATAATATAAGATTAGGTGGCTTGCAGTAGACTTATTTGCTATTAATGTGTGCCTTTTTTCTCTTCTCTCTGTTTGGATTTTCTACAATTCTTATTCATTATAAATATTTTTATTTTGTTGTGTGTAACTTGTTTTGGGCATTTTTGTGTGTGTTTTACTCTTCAGGCTTTGTTTCATTGGATAATTCGATAGATTTCTCCCTCTCTAGCTCGAGTGCTGCTGCAGCCCTGGCTTCAGCATCTATTTTTAATCAAAAGATAAAATACAATGAATATTTTCAGGTATAAATTGAGAATGGAATGATTGTTGTGCATTTTGTATTGATGAGGGTTGAGGTTTTGATGCTGAATAGAGTTCAGTAATTAAATATTTGAATTTGAGTATTTTGGAGTTCGATGATGTCAAGTGTCTCTGACATACAACGTCTTACAATACAAAATGCGCAAAACCCGCCATTCTAATTCTCTCAACAATATTAAACAACAAGACAATCAATGGAACTATAGCAAACTTGCCTTTTATTGCCTGATCCTTCCATATCTTTTTATTTTCAGCTAAACATGTAATCCATGGCTTCTTAATTTTAAATCTCGTTGGTTTTTCACAATCTGTGCTACTATTTGATTTATCATCAGATGATTTACTTTTGGTGCTAACTATTGCTTCACTACTTGATCCTTCTTCCGGCACATTAAGAGTATTTGATGCATTGTCCTCACTAACAGACGTTATCGCTTTATTACTTAAACTATTATTGTTATTATTTGCTATTGGTGCTATTGGTGCTAGGATAGTTTCTAACATATCTGAACATACGGCCATACTTGGCTCAACGATAAACTCAATAAAACCAATTTGTGATTCCGCTACTAAAGTATTATTACGATCACACAATGGACTAAATGGCAGGCCCAATTCACGCTCCAAATCGCCTTGTCGAAAGAATTCTTCCAATAATAACATTGTCCATTTATGATGTAGGTCCCATTTCTTAGCTGGATGTGATATATCGCAGCAGTGCAATACAAGTGCCATTGCTTTTGACTTATCCACACTCGGCTCAGCGAGTGTCAACAAATTTCTCATATTCTTCAATTGTTGAAAATGAAAAGACATATCAGTTGCAAGCACCATATCGATTATTAATGTTCTCAGTTCCCTATATTCATCACGCGATAAATTTTGCAATATATTACAGTCATCGTCTTTAAGGACGCGAAAGGCCGCACTTATATGATGATTTTCAAGCACGGCACGATCATTATATAACATGGCTGTGTCAGAGCCCGACATAACATGAAAGTTGTTTGTTGTACCCGTATGCTCGTAATCGTGTATTAATGCTGCAACTAATGTTGCAAATATCTCTAAATCCGATAGCCAATGCATCAGTCCAGTTTGACATAGAACATGATGAACGGTTTGAGCTACATCTGCTGCATGTAAATTATTGTGATAAGGATTGCGAAAGCGACAATAACCTGCGGGGAGGTACAGAAAGTTAGAAAAGTTTCATGGTTTGATAGAAAGCGCATAAATTGGGATATCCTTGGGTTAATTGCAATATTTTATTTAAGCTTAAGATTTTCAAGTTGATTGCTATCAAGAATCAAGAATAAGGGTCAGCAGCATTGAGGAGAAGTAGACAAAGTGCTGACAAAAGCACATCAACATAGAAAAATGAAGTTTATGGATCATATTGCTCAGTATACACTCCGATGTAACAATAAAACACTGCAAATTGTTCAAATCCAACAAATGGACTTGCTGAAATGCACTACAATTACAGCTTGAGCATTTTCCTTTCACTTCCGACGTCATTAACACATTTTCAACATTTTTCTACAAATACTTTTCTCATCAAGCTTTAAAAATAGAACGAAAAGTGAGATTATTATTCGGGTCAGTGAAGCAGGAGTGCTTAATAGACATTGAACGTGATTGCATTTATTTCATGAATTTTCTTTTACTTTCATCAAACCCTTGAAAATGTTTGCTCATTTTGGCATTTTGTTGCATGCAAATAAAGCAGCTTACGGTATGAATTATAGTCTTAATTAGAAGTGTTAAAATATTGCAATTATTCAACATTATAGAATTTCTGAGGATTATTCCAACATTTTTCACAAGCTTACCTTCCTCGATTCGCGATAAAAATGTTTCGAGTGTTGCTGATGGAACTTTAAATTTGTGAATCATTCCATATCGATTTAATAAATCATAACCGACGTATTTTACAGGCTGGCAATTTCCCGATTCTGCTAATGCAAAAACATCAAAGGACCAATCGTCGAGGTGCTGGAAGGGATTTTGAGAGTTGAAAAAAATAATTAAATGTTAATTAAAAATGCTTTGTGTTGGAAAATCGTCTGTTGGAGATTGCAGCTGTACAAAAGCCAGAACATGTGATATTTTTGATATATATGTAAGAAGACTTAACATTTCAATTTAAAGAGTTGAGAGAGATGACAACATGAACATAGCCAGAGGGTCTGTTGAATTTGATACAATCCTCGACATATTTTTACATGGACAGACAGAAGCCAATGATAAAGTTTACTATGAATCACTATTGTTTCATCTCTAACATGGCATTTAGCTAGTAAAATTCTAAATTAAGATTTAAAGAAAGCTCACATTTAATTAATTATTCCATTGAGCTTTCAAAAGAGGAAGTATAAACAATATTCTATGTCTCTCTCTCTATTTTATTCTAACTCAATAGAACTTTTCCTCTCTTTTCACTCCCTTTAATGTTCATCAATTATGCATAATTATCCCTTCTCTGTACCCATTTTCCCTTTTTTTCTCAGCTCAACATTTTTTATTCAGCAACTCTTTTCATTCATTCACTCATGCATCTGCTGGAGATGAAAGAGACTTGATAGGAAAAAAGTTTTCAAGCTTGAAAGGACATGAAAGGAATAAGATACGGAAATGGACGTTCAATAATTCATAAGGATATTTTCTGTCATTTTTAAAATGGGATAAATTGAATTGTGGAACAGTTAAGATTTTGAAAGGCGATGGAAATTGAATTGCAATTGCTTGTGTTATCAGATGACAGGCACGTAGCCAGGAGGGTCATGCCCCCCCCCCCCTTAAACGTTTTGAACCGCAGCGAGAGTACGGAATAATTTCTAGAGTTCTTGCATTTTCAACAAAACTATTTTCAAACTTTAGAGAGCTTGAATTTAAAGACTTGCCCTTATTTCCGAAAACTCAAAAGTCTGTATGTGAGGATCATTAAAATTCAGCTTGAAAAACCAACAAACTGTACCTCAAACTCGTAATTCATCCGTTTATTTTGAAAATTATATGTTAACAAGATGCCATAGAAAGGCATCAAAGCATAATGATAACATCAAACTCATTTAATGTACTTTGTAGAAAAATGGGCGTTTGTGGAAAGTCCTACTATTATCCTGCAATTATGTTGATCTCCCCACAAACTATTTCATTAAGATAACTTAGATGGAGTAGTGTGTGAGTGCAAGTTTGTGAAAATTGTTTGAAAATGTTGAAGTTGCTTTTTAAATCATCAGAAAAGGGAGGTAAAAGCATATCATTTAATGAATGAATTGTAGGTAGGGTTACCATCTAATTTTCATGAAAATACAGGACTTTTGGTAAATTTTTTCGAAAAATACAGGACATAGAGTAAAATTCGAAAATTAACGGAAATTTTCGTGAAAAAAATACAGGACCTTGAACAAAGTTTTCAAATTTATACAGGACATGGTTTTGAAATACAGGACTGTCCGTTGTAAAACTACGCAGATGGTCACCCTAATTGTAGGTCAATCTCCCCTTTTGTTCTTATAATAGACCAAATAATTAAGAATTTTTGAGCACTCGACACATTAGTGTAGTGTCAATCAAGTCATATAAAGAGATATCTGCGATTTCAAAAGCAAGGAATCATTGGTCGAGTGACCAGGCTTGAATTAGATCAATCAAATCCTTTTTTTGAGGACGTGTGTTCAATTCCTACCCAATATCGATGTTTATCATTAAATAAAGTGTTTTCGATATGACAAGGATTTGTACAATGCCCACGACAATAAAATCAGTTGTAAGGAAATTCTGCGGATAAATTAAATAAATGCAAATTGCGAATTCCCTTTTGTTTGAAAACATACTATAATTGTTCCTCAAAAACCTGTTCATTAAATTCAAATTTTACATAACATTATGTCAGATCAGGGAGAAATTCAAAGTACTCAGAATTAAGAGCCATTGAGTCAAAAATGTAGAGGAATTGTGTATGAATGGTAGATAGAGAGTACTTTTGTGCTCATGGCATGGAAAAAGAATGAAATGAGCACAGCAGAAAAAAAGTATTTTTCATATCCATCCAACATACCCTCGAGGACGGAAATGTTCAGTATTCCTTTTATAGACATTCTCTTCCTGTACTTTACATACACAATTTTTTATGTAAATATTTACCTTTAAAACTTTCACAACTTCTGGTGGGAACTGCATAAGTGCCGTACTTGACACTCGACGATAAATTCGATCAACGAATATCCCAGCACGAATTGCATGTGCGACAGATCGAAATTTTGGCTTTTCATCACTTTTCTTTCGCGTTGTTGCGAGTTGTCGGGTGAAGGTTGATGCCAACCATTCTCGCACTTCTGGCGGCACTGCGTCTGGCTGAACTTCTGATAATTCATCGTCTTCGTCTGCCAAGCGCCTGGATTTATGCGAGTAAAAGAGCAAAAATTGAGAGAGAGAGAAAAAAATAGAAAACATTAGAATGCAAATTTTTCAAGCATAAAATTTCATGTAAAACAACATAAAATTCGAAAACTCATAAAAATACATAAAAAATCTACTATAACTTGTGTGTTACTTTACGTCATTTTACTTTACATATTTTCCACACAATTCTGTGTAAATAATTAAATAAAATGTTAATTGCATTCTCACAAGCGAAGATAATAAAAAATTCAATTTTTTATGCTGCAAATTTCATCTACATTAAATTTTCTATACATTTCTTTTGCTTGCATGTTAGTAGCACTCTAAATTCACTCTGCATACTCTATTACATGAAGTTTATTATGCTTTTATGTCTGCATATTGGTCTGTTCTACTTAGCTTATTTGGGTAATGTGAAAATATAAAAAAATTGGAGAAAATAAAATTAAAGTAATAAAAAATCATAAATCGTACTGAGAATATGTAAAATAAGAAGGAATTCAAAGAGTTTTTATAGAATATTGAGTTGATGTGAGCGCGGTTTTTTACGGGGGATATTATATTAATTTTGATGATCTTCTGTTCTTAGCTAGTTTAAGATTTCAAAAAGAATTAAGAACCTAGACTCAAGAACCAAGAATCAAGAATCAAAAACCAGGCACCAAGAACCAAGAACCAAGAACCAAGAACCAAGGAGCAATAACCAAGAACCAGGAACCAAGAACCAGGAACCAAAAACCTTGAACCAAGAACCAAGAACCAAGAACCAAGAACCAAGAACCAAGAACCAAGAACCAAGAACCAAGAACCAAGAACCAAGAACCAATAACCAAAAACCAAGAACCAAAAACCTTGAACCAAGAACCAAGAACCAAGAACCAAAAACAACTAGGAACCAAGAACCAGGAACCAAGAACCAAGAACCAAGAACCAAGAACCAAGAACCAAGAACCAAGAACCAATAACCAAAAACCAAGAACCAAAAACCTTGAACCAAGAACCAAGAACCAAGAACCAAAAACAACTAGGAACCAAGAACCAGGAACCAAGAACCAAGAACCAAGAACCAAGAACCAAGAACCAAGAACCAATAACCAAAAACCAAGAACCAAAAACCTTGAACCAAGAACCAAGAACCACGAACCAATAACCAAAAACTAAGAACCAAAAATCAAAATTCATCCCGAGCTCCTCAAAAATTCCTGAATCAATAAAATTTTCCCAAAAAACGCGATTACAAAAATTCAAATTAAATTTCCTTTCGTTTCAGCGATTTTTTTTTCAAGTGATATGAATTTTGCTCTTTTGCATAATTCCATGCACAAATTTTCTTCTTTTATTTTTCTGCATGAATTCCACTTTAAAATGCAAATTAAGCTTTGAAAATAAATTTTCTTTTCATTCGTTTATTTCGAATATTTTTTAATGTTAAGTTTATTGTTGAAAAAAAATAAACTTTGAGTTGATTAAAAAGAAAATGTTTGTAAATGCAATTGTTGTAGATTTATGACCTTATGTTTATGTTTTCTTTGAATTCGCGTTTAATTTATGAAGTCTTTAACCTTTCAGCAATTATAAAATTTGTGCTGCTAAAACTAAAGTTTTTGCGTAATTTTATGTTTTTCACCAAATATTGAATAATTTTTCAGCTAAAAGAACTGATTTTAAATCATAAATTTTATGTGTTTGTTCTACTAGCTTTGCACACGATAAAAAAGCACAATTAGATTTTAAATTAAATATCAATTATCTCTTTATAATGCAATTTATGCATCTATTTGAGCTTATCAATACTATTTATTGTTTGATTCATGCACATAATGCCTGAAATTTAATGTTTTTTTGTGATTAGAGCGAATAAAATTGCAAATTTGATAATTGGCTGCAATTTATCTTCCATTTTTAATAATTTGAGAATTAAAAGCAGTGAAAATGAATTTTAAACAATTGATTGCAATCTAATAATATTAATTACTTTGAATCTAGTCAGAGTGGTTGAATTTGATGACAAAATAGCGAACGTTTTATCATTGGCAATTCCGATTTAAAATATGTTCGAAATTAAAATTTATAAAAACTTTTTTCTTTGTTAATAAACTTACAATGCAAATTTTAATTAATTCGATATTAAAGGGAAATAATTGGTTGACAATTCTGGCGCATTTCATGATGACATTGAAATAAATCAGAAGATTTTCAGAGAATTTTAAGTGCTGCTATTTTCAATTTTGTTGCATTTAATGGATTTTTTCTGATCAATTAACTTTTTATCCTGCAATTGCATCAAAATGATTCCATTCACTTAAGAAATCATATTTCTTTTACTAAATAGTCCCACTGCTTGATTCTCATCCCTAATTTCCCTGAACTAGAGCAAAATTGAACCAAGAAAGCTACAATTTACAATAAAATGAAGCATTTTTATTACATTTCGAAATAAAGGAATGCAAAAACCATTCAATAGCTCTTCAAAAGCTTCAATATATAATACCAATAAAGTGACTGCAGAAATGACTGCTTTAAAAATTGCTCCCTCTTATTTATTTTTATTACTTCGATAAATTGAATTTGATATTGAATGAAAATCAATTTGTATTGTTGTGTGTTATAGGAACGTAAAGATATAAATGTTGTTAATGACTCCAGTTATCATTAAAATGTTGCCATTCCATTGCTTCCAATTTCCATAAACATTTTTCCCTTTTTTTTTGGCATTTTTTTCATCATCGATTGTTTACACAATAAATATTAAATTTAAAGAAAGGAATTGGAATCGAAAATATTTCTTTTTTCGTTGTGAATCATTAATTTTTGGGAATGTTTGGTTATTGCCAGTGAACTTATTGAGAGAATCCGATTAAATTTGTTGGATTGGAAGTTTAGGGGTTTAAGGAATAGATTGTTTTAACAGCGATAGGGTCGATCTTAAGTTTCGTTTAATATAAAATTAAAAATATCTTTTAAAATTCAAGTTTAATTACTTTTTAACAATTTCAGTGCTGTCTTTTTTCATTATTTTTACAATAATCTTCAACTTTCAACCAATTAACCTCAAAATTCTTAAAACTTCAACTCCAACCAAAGCAAAACTTACTGACAAAAGAATCTTATTTATTTACTTGACGCAGAAATAGAAGCAATCACATTATCTTGAACACTATTGTACACTCAATGTCATGTCCAAATTGTTCGAAAAAAGCTTTTATATATCAGTGACAATATTATCTTTTTGAATGGCAAGTTCAATGAGATTTTGATAAAAATATCTTTTAAGTAAAATGTTCTTGAAGATAATGAAAGCAGAAAGGGTTCTGCAGTCGATAAAGGAATTGAAAGTGTGTTGAATGATTCTGTTCAGTCAGTAAATTGTATTTTGAATACTTAAGGAAATTAGATTACATTCTAGAAGTTTTAGTTTGATTTTTTGGGGGATATTTGAATGACATGTGACGTAAAAAATTTTAAAAAGTGGATGTCATGTGGCTGGTAATTTTTGGATTAATTAAGATTTGTGTCACTACTTTGTATAGGCCTTCCAAAAACCAGGCTTAAATGCATAGACAGTCAATTGAGAACTCACCAACGACAATATTACATTTTCCAAACGACAACTACATTCATAGCAGTTCATAGCAGTTCAGCAGTTTTCCGCTCGGATGTATATTCAATTTCCTGTATGACCATTGAAACTTTTTTTCGATTTCAATCAGATATAAGCACATCTGTTTGCTCATCAAACTTTTTCAAAAAAATATTGAAATTAAAAAACTCTTCAGCAATCTCAAAAAATAATATCATTTATCAGTAACCAAACCAACTCTTCTCAAAAAGTCTGTCCATTAAATACTTTGTCGTCATTTTATTTATTTTTTGTGTTGAGTTTCAATTTAATTGAAATCAACTTCAATTCCTATTCCACAATTTGTTGGTTTTCATTCTCGAAGTGATTTTAAAAACCACTTAAAGTCATAAACTTCTCATTTTCAACGTCAATTTGCGGAGAAAGCCATTGCAAACAATTACTAATTAAAAATTAATTATATTGCTTTGCATTTATACTTGGAAATGCTTTCTCTCTAAGCTTTATGATTTCTGCATGACGAAGTTTCTCTTTATTTATTTGCTGCTGTGTTGATGAGCAGCTCATGGAACTTGAAATGTGATAAGCACAACCAACTGTTGCAAAATTGTGAATGCTTCGTTTTGAAACAATGATGATTGTCAACATAAGGTGTCAATTTTGGATTTTAAATCACGATTTTTAGCTGTCGTCGGAAGTTTAAATTTTTTAAAAAGGATGTTCAGCATCAGTGCTTTGTAGACTACTGGAATATAAAGGCTCTCTATTACCAGAGTACTAGAAAATGATTGCGTACTAGAATAAACTAGAATAATTGAATATGATTGAGTACTAGAATATACTAGAGTAGTTGTAAATAGTAAAGTACTAGAATATACTAAAGTCCTAGATTCCTAGAATACTATGATTGAGTCATAATTGAAAATGATTGAGTACTAGAATATACTAGAGTTGTTTTAAATAGTAAAGTACTAGAATATACTAAAGTCCTAGATTCCTAGAATACTAGAGTACTAGAATGAAGAATTGAACCAACATTTTCTCACAGATAACCATCGTTTAACTCTTTTTACATCCCCTATCTATAACTTTCTCACCAAGCCCCCATAGATAGACATACAACAAGGAACAAGCATCAAAGAAAATCGATTGAAGAAGCTTATTAACGAGGAGTCTAAACACAATTTACGTTTAAGAAAGGAAGGAAGGAAGGAAGTGAGTGAGAGAATGAGAAGGTTACAATGAAATAGAAAGATAATCGATATCTCGTTCGGAATGTGTTGACAAAGTAATTTACATACACGAATGACGTTTTCTTTCCCGCCCCATTGAAACTAATTTTATGTGTCGTTTATGCAGTGAAGGAGAAATATTTTTTTTTTGCTTAGTCTTGCCTGCCAAAAATAGACTTT